TTATGAGATAAATATATACTGTTGAATTTGATGAAAAGTTACATACAGATTTTTATATTATATTTTGCATATGACATATAGTTTTGAGTAAATTTTCATCATTTTTCCGTCATCATTTCTATTTTATCTTATTTGATAAAACCTGAACTAATTCGTTCTTCATCGATCACGGGACTGTCGCGGCACACTAAGATAAAAAATTTCGCTAATTTAACAAAGTATCAATAATCGAAACAAATGGCTTGTTGATATGGGAATGTTTTAGTAGTGGAAACAGTGATTTTTAACAGTGTTACTTTTAACTTGTTTTAACTCTAAGCAACATTTCTGTAATGGAGATATAACCAACGTGATCTAAATAGATGAGAACAAATGTGATTTGTATCTTATATAAATCACAAGATATATTCGTTAAAATGAGAGAGTTAAGTAATTATTTGCAAAAACAACTGTCTGATTTATTTCCCTAACGATTAGCAAACAGCAAACAGCAAACATCAAACAGCAAACGTGCTTTTCTTCTGATAACCGAGGAATTTTTCTTTCAGTATGTGTGTACAATATGTGTATATATATATATATATATATATATATATATATATATATATATATATATAATTAAGACACTTCTCTCGAATCAATCGTTTCAACCAATGTTAAGATGAAAGTACTGATGATATGACAGAATACGTATCTAATCCTGGACGTTCTTATTATTATATTTTGGTTCATAAATTTGAAGTTTCAAACTTTTAACATAGAAAGAATACATATATATATTCTATATTGAAAGTTTAAATACCCGTATCTAAAGATCAAAATAATAAGAATGTTCAATGCCATGCAAAATTTAATACAGGAATTGGTATTTGTTCCCTGTTATTTTTTTTTAAGATCTCGACGACTGAATCGAATCACTGGCGACTCGTGCAGAACACCAAGTACTGCTCGATTCAAGATCGAGCTACGAATTGCACGGGTATAATCCGAGTTCATTTACCCCGAAACTTCCGTTTGGTGCACCGTCGACACTCATAGCTAATCGCGAGAGGACCATATTATATCATCGACCTATCCCAACGTGCGGACCCGCATGTCAGTCCGGACGCGGGGGAGCCATCTATTATTCCGCACGAAGGATTCCGCAGTCGTTTGTGTGAATTAGCGTTTCTGGGAGTTACACGGACAGCCACGGAGTCTCATTGATCGCCATTAGGGAACGCCGCTTTGATTTTGTAGCTGGCGCGACCATCACTCCACTTTAATGCTCGGTGCTAGCACGTACAATCGCCGTGGTAGACGTCGGAGCTATCCCGTAATGAGAGCGATCAAAGGAGAATATCACGGTATTCTGAGGCCGGCGAGGAAAAAGTCTGACAGGGAGCTGCGCGCAAAGTTCTTCTTCCCCAAGTAGAAAAAGCGACCTCTTCCTAGCCAGTAATTGGCCAGGAATTTTGGTTGCTGGTTAGTTTCTGGCTGTCTAAAGTCGCTGAAATGATGCTACTTATAACTGCTACTAAACTAAATTCTATTATAAGTATAGTATTGCAATTAGCAATATCTTGCTAAAAGAAACAGTTGATAGTAGTGTTCGTTCCTATTATTAAGATGCAGTTTGCAAACACAGATAGTGTCATTATACAAAAATTGCACGCAAGCCGGTACACTGAGAGAAGAATTTAGTAAATATTATCAAAATTTGGTTACTATTACTAAATGGTAGACGTAAATATAGCGGGCCAAAGCTATGGCAATACTTATTAATTAATTTAGTTCTGTAAAATAAATTATTTATTTGACAGAAGTAAAATTTATTTGCTTCCAGAATATATTTGGTAAATAAAACTTATTGAATAGTTGAGCAAAATAAGCGATTTTGTAGTAGTTACAAAATTTTTGGTAGGTTCAGCCAACCATCTGTAATAGTAGATATTGAAAGGATGTAATAGCTGCAAATGAATTAATTTTTTATATTGGTAACAAAATAGAACTCGTACCTACTGAATTTTTTATTACATCGGATATAACAATTTCATAACAATTATCAAATATCTACTCATAACTGTAATATATTTCATATTAAATATTTAACATTAAGTAACTATTATTAAATTATTTAATTGATGTTACTGTGAATGCAATTACGTCATACTTTCGATCTATTAAATATTTGGTAATTATTATCATATTTAGTATTAGTTACTAAGGATTCAATAAATTTCTGTAACTAAATGCAGTTTGTTATAGTTACCAGTCTTTTCTCTCAGTGTAATTACATGATCAAAAACGCAGGTAGTTGGATTTGATACAGCGTATAATGAATTTGTAATGTATCAATATTTTCCAGTTTCTATATAATTATGTAGTCTAATAAATCTCAGTCAGCAAAAACTGGCCAGAGTTTCTGGCGAGTGAGACCAGTCTTTCATGGACATTTTTCTGCTTGGGTCGTTTTCAACGAGCCGCCGATGGAAGCGTTTCCCGCGTGAAGTACCGAGGGACGCGATTTTCGTCGGTTTGATTGTCCCAGTCCTCGTCCGCGAGGAAAAAGGGTCCGAATTGAAACGTCGCGCTAGGAGAAATCCGCGACCAGCAATCGGGATTCTCGCGGGCATATTCTCCCCGCCGTCAGCCCCCGATTTCGTAGTCCGGAGAAATAGCATTTTACTTATCCCCGGGGTTACTTCTAATGCGACTGAGAAAGAAATACGGCACTACGTGTCCCGCGTGTTTCTCTGTTTCGCAATTTCAGTGATTCGTGCCGCGACTCCAAAGGCGGATAGCGACGTGGCGCGCGCGCAAACTTCTGAATAGCGTAGACGACACGTCGATACCAATGTACCGTGTAAAGGGCTTTTCAGCACATCTCCATGGCACACAACGACGCGTACGAGGTTCACGCCAGCCAGCCGTCGGCGGGCGGCTTATTAATATTGCACGCCTCGCGCCGGCGGACTAAACTTTTAACGGGCCGCGATTTGTTCGTTTTGCTTTTTCGTTTTGCCAACATTAACTTCGCCGAGAACTTCACGAAAATGGTAGGACGTATAAGCGGACCGGTCATCGCACGGCTTTGCCTGACTCGAGAGAAATCCTTTTATCGGCTAATATTTACGGCTGCATTCTGAATATTCGTGTTATCTTTATTAAACCTTCTCGATAGCGAAAATCGGAATTGTATATTCTCTGTAATACAATCGGTGTATTCTTCACTAAAATGCTATACTTCTCACCAACTAACAGTAAACACCAACTAACAGTATAACACTAACCAACATTATATCAATGTTATAATTTAATTCTTAATGAGATTTTTAAGACTCTTTTGGTGAGACTGTTGATTGTAATACTATACTTGTAACTGAATGACCAGTTATTAGTAGCATCATTTCAGCGAAGAATACACTGATCGTACTTTACAGAGCAAGCATTAAATTGGCCAGGAACTAATCAGCAACCAAAATTCCTGGTCAATTACGGACTAGGAAGAGGTCGTTCTTTCTTGGGGAAGAACTTAAATATTTACTTAATCAATATTACAAATATAATTCCCATTTAACAATGTAAATGTTATGTAAGAGTCGTGTTATATATTGCATTTACATTATTGAGTAGGAAACAAGAAAATTGATGTTGTTATTAATATATATAATTGGCGTTTACTAGGTTGTGTAACGGAAAAGGATATGGTATACATAACCAGAAATATTTAGTTGTGAGCAACATAGTTGCATTTAGTTATATTTGTGTGATGATAACGTGTATGGTTGATATATCGCAGTTATATCAGTTACATTAATATAATTGCGTAAGGCAATCAGAAATCGGTTGGAGCGATATTTACTATGTCACTCTGATGTGGAGCAACTGAATATTGTCACTGTTGCAACGCCAGTGACTCATCAATTGCTCTGTGATTGCAGCAACTACATAACTAATTGCTCCGTATCTTACTATTGAATCTGATTGACATAACCAGATTTATGTATAGGCCAATTATACTGTTTTTTTTCGTGTGGTGGTTCAGTTATAATACGGTTTCAAAGTATAACACTGCAATCATAATAAAATCTCTCTGGGAGGATAAGTGAATAATAACAATTGTTCTCATTATTGACGCGTTTTGCAAATAAAAAGTGTTATCGCACGCAAGGCGCATGGAAGCCGTTGTCTACCATCCATCGTCATAAACGCAAGAAGTTGCATCTAATACAGAGTACATAGTACGAATTTGCATGAAATCGAATAGAATTTACAGTGAAATCTTACTTCCACTGTGAGAAATAAGACGGAGCAAAAGAGGGGGAGGGGGTATTCTTATTGAAAATCAGTAAATATTTACTGATCATCATTCTTAAATTTTACTTATTCAATAAGAAACATTTTTACTGATTTATCTTAATAGAGCAGATTGCGAAATTAACCAACCACGAATTTGTACTTTTACATCGAGAAAAAAATGTTTGGTATTTGTGGCTATAATTATGTAATGAAATAATTATAGTTGAAAAAATAATTTTCCTAATAGTATAGAAAGAGATTATGTTGTAGTATAGACGGTAATAATCTTATGTATAGCAGGAATATATTGCTACTACACATTGACAGAAAAAAATATCGAAAGGATAAAAAAATATTTATTCGGTGGATACTAATAACATGTTCACTTAAATCTAAATTATTTTACTTATAAATAGAATAAACAGTTGCTTTGATGAAAAATTAAAATTTTAAGAAAATGTATATTTTCTTATTTGAATAATATTTGACATTGATATTATTAAATATTTTATTAATATCTGCGCCGAATATAATAAATGTTTTTTTTTTATTAGAGCAAAATATATGTCTGGCGCCAGAAATGACTCTAAAGTCAATAAGATCAACCATTTATTTCTGTCTCAGTGTAAGCCTTTGCTTACAGTATAAGCATCGCTCAGAGGTACTTTTGCTGCGCTTTTCCAGCTTATTCCTGACGAGATGCGCTCGTATGTTTGCAGGCAAAATTCCGCGTGATGGTGGAGGAGAACGCAGCGACCGGCGCCCGGCTCGACGGCGAGCTGGAACGCGCCAGGGGCGAGTGCGCCACTCTTCGGGGTGAGTTGCGCGACGTCCGCGGCGCCTTGCCGATCGTGCTGAACAACAACAACGCCGGTGCGGCTGCGGCCGCAGCAGCGGGTAACGGTAGTGCCAACAGCAACAACAACGGCGCGACAACCGGCGCCAGCGGCAACCCCGGCCAAGAAGCGGAGGCGCAGCAACAGGCGCAGCAAGACGACGGCAAGAGGCTCAGCGCCGGCAGCAGTCCGATCGAGAAGAGGAGCTCGGCCAGCGATAAATCGGCCAGTCCTATCGACAAGAGGACCAGCCCGGTGGACAGGAAGGAGAGAACCAGCCCCATCGATCGTCGAGCCAGTCCCATAGGTTTGTTGGCAAATTATTTTCTCCTACACTGGAAAAAAGAATCGGGCAAAACGAGCCAAGTCTCTTAGCTGAGCAAATTTGGTCGCACCAATTGCAACTGTAAAATAAATTAAAATAAATATCTTCGATAATCGGAGAAAAAAAATTTCGATACGTGCGTTTAACATGCTGGATAATTTTATTCTCCCACAATCATATTAATATTAAAAAGTAATATTAGTATTTAATAGCACTAAGCATTCGTGCTTGCTCCTTATGTGCCGTCTCAAATCTCACTGTTAATCTATTCGAGGAGCTTTCTATTATTTCGGTTTATCAGGAAGAATATGCTATCTCTCTCTCGTATAATAACATCTCTTACGAGATCGACTCTTTCGTTCTTTCTCTCTCAACTTACATCTTAGAGAATTTATAAACATTGTGTTGCGAGATTACTGTCGAAGCCTCGGTGGCCGAATGGAAAGGCGTCCCGTTCGGAAAGTGAGGAGGTTCCAGGTTCGAGTCCTGGCAGTTTTTTCGCAACATATATAATGAATCTATTTGAGTCATCGGTTTAATTGGGTTTGAGATTTTAATAAAAAAATATATATATAAAAATTGGGACTCAAGGATCGGTCTAAGTATGGAAGGTTGATTCTCCGCGTACGATAATCAAAGAAAAAATTTCGATACGTGCGTTTAACATACTGTAATTTTATAATAACGTGCGTTTAACATACTGTAATTTTATATATTGAGGATAATTTTATCCTCTCACAATCATATTAATATTAAAAAGTAATATTAGTATTTAATAGCACTAAGACATCTGTGCTTGCTCCTTATGTGCCGTTTCAAATCTCACTGTTGTAAAAATTAATTAAATAGAATAAAAATTAAGAAAATAAAATAATAGAATAAAATTAATTAATAATATATATTCAACAATTTGATGTAAAAACTTAGTAAAAACTAAAAAATTTAGTCAGAAGTAAAAGGTTAAGAGAAACTGAAGTGTAGTTATACGGACGCTGTAAGTGTTTTTTCAATTAACGGGAAAAGTTGATCTAACTATGTAAGTAATTCGATTCTCTAGACAGAAGATTAAGTAAATCAGACGATAAGTACGTTGAACTAACTAACTTGTATGTCTTTGATAATTAGATATTTGCAAGATTTGTTCAATTAGAAGAAATCATTCCTTTAGATATGAGAGTCGAATTTTTGACTCAGGATATTACACTTAAAAACTCATTTGATTACCATTACTTTTCGGGATAGTCAAAGCAACACAATAGTTAATAAATTTTACTGAATATTTAGCTTGTTGTAGTAAGATATTACATTATGCTGAAAGAATTAAAACAATTAATTCGTTATACACAGTCCAAAAATTATGTTCGTTCAGCTCGATTCTTGTTGTTCCAATCGATTACTTTATAGTGTATAAACATTTAATTGATTCGCACATTTAATGGATTTGCAAATGGTAAACTGTAAATCTTGAAAATTATTCTGGGAAAGATTCTGAAGGAATCGAGGAAAATTCTCGAGGCCGGACGGCATCTTGAAGGAATGATAACGTTGTTCGGTACTTCAAACTTTAGCGAGGAATGTGAATTTTTCATGGTTCGCTCTCATATCTGACTACACAGGTGTCGCCTAGAAATTTTCTGGAAAGTTTCCGGGAAAACATCAGTTTTGAAAACTGGGCTATCTAAATTCCGCGAACATATTCGCGATATCAGAAATGCATAACTCACGGTATTCTTTTTTCTATAAGATCCAACTCCTCCTTCATATACTTGCCGTTTCACAAAAGCCCTGCGGTAAAGCGCTCAAATGCGCTTTTCCATCAGGAGAGGATAATCAGCTTAAAATATGATTAGCGCTGTAAAAAGCGCTGCCTGAATAAAAAGATGTTCGCGCCTGTGAGAATCTCCTCGTCGTGGGAGCGCGATCTCAAGGGAGCGTCCTGGTTTGAGTGTTCTCTATACGCTCGGAGTTTATTTCGCGGAAGTATTTTCATAAAGACAACTCGGCAACGCGGAGATGCGCTCAGAAGGAGAGGGGAGCGAGAGAGAGCGCAAAGTTATCGGCGCCGCGAGCTTCGGCGGATAAGACTTCTTAAGAAGTTGGCGGGAATGAAATTTTAAGACGCGGCGCGCGCGAGAATGTTTTTCGCATTTCCACGTTTATCTTAACTTCGCCGGCGAGTTATCCTTTATATCTCCCGCAGTTATGTGCTGTTACTTTTATGGTCGGTCGTGATTCACCATTTCCACCACGACCAGCTTCGCGCCGAGGGCTGCATCGGTCTCAGCCACCCTCGAACTGCACATTACAGCTCATAGAAGCTCGGTCTTCTTGACAAACGTTCCGCAGTTGTCGTTGCATCCTGCCGAATACAAAATAACGATCCGCGACGTATCGTTCCTTTCCGTTTGTGTTCACGTGACTTTCATTTTTCTCAATACACACAACTACGTATGTTGCATCTGGAGATCGAACACAGCTCTTTCCACTCCCTAAGCTTTTGTGCCGAGTTCACTTCCATAATGCGTTTCGTTTGTCCACACAGTAAATCCTATAAACTGAATATAATAATATCATTGTATAATAATACAATATAATATATGATAATAATATTATAGTTATATTACGATTATATAATATAATGTTATATACAGAAGAAAAATATTGGTAAAACAAATTACGATAAATTTCTGTAATCTTGGGCCATACAGAATTACGGTCAAAATATGTTTGTTCAAAAATATTATACACATTTGACTTTTTACAAAATTATTGTAATTGCTTGAATATTTTTTATATTGTAAATCGTAAAAGTAAATCATTAAATTTAATATCTATGTAGTAATTTACAATTGCAATATAGTTCATTTTTATAAAAAACATTGTGAAAAGAAACATGATTATAATAATTTTATTAATTTTCGCTACAATATTTTCTCCGTGTATATCAATACTATATTTTTTCTTAATAAAAAAATTATATTACTACAAATGTGTTACGCACTGCATTAGATTCTGAAGTATTTAAGGAGATTATTCACTAGATATGTGTGTATTCTTAGCACGCTCAATGGGTACAATACTTTCAGTGGCGCATCAAATTTCACTACTTAAATAATAAATAATTAATTTGAAACTAATTCCATGATATTACATTGCTACGTTTCACTCGGCGCAATGTTGCTCAAAGTATAAAACAGCATTTTTCTACAATTGACTGTTATACAAAAACGGTGTAGTGATTATTATTCTTTCTTTCTTTTCTACTATTTTATCTCTCCTAATATATAACATTTATAATGATAAGTTTTCTTTATGTAGATAGTATTATGTTTTATGAAGTTACATGGAGTTTTATGGAATAATAGTCATCTACATTGCCACAAGAGGTTATATGTGCAAAATTGCGATTCAGTATAAAATTTCTCATGAATCGTGCAGAGAAATTGCATAAAGTTACAAATGTGTTTTATCGCGACAAATCTTGCGTTAAATTCCGGTGTAATTTTAAGCATCGTGGCTTCAATGAATAAACTCTCCTTAAGTAAACGCGAACTGTACGATATTATTTCAACGTAATACAATTTTCATTAGGAAGAAGTGTGCCGCGAAGAATTCCCAGTTTGGACCGCGAAGAATTCACAGTTTTACCTTTCCTGCTGATTTCAATCGCTCGCCATCACTCATTAAGATATTCAGCCGCCACTGGATTCATTTTTATAATTTTATCAATTTACTAGGTGGAATTCCACAACGGTCTTATGTGCACGCGTAAGAGTAACTTTATCAATTAGAGCTTGCATTAGCTGAAACACGCTCGAAAAGATATTTCTCGTCAAAGCAAAGCTCGGCTAATTTCCGCACGCGCCGAGGTACGGCGTATGATATTTTCGCGCGACGTACGTGTTAACGCGCTCGTGAAGGACCTACTAGCTAGTTGAAGATCAAAGACACCGGCGCGTACATTATACGACTCATGTTCGCTCCTCTCGTCTCGAGGAGATGCCAACAGACCCACTTAAAGCAGAGTGACCCGCGCGTGCATGCAAATTCGGGACGGCTGGAACCGCCTCCTAGAGCTGTGTTATCGCCGCCGGCTGCTTCGACCGATCATGCGCGCCACGTACAGGTGTTCGTCGTCGAGATCGCTGGATAGATCCACCTTATCGAGCGGTGCATCCGTCTCGCATCGGGTCGGACGCACATTCCAATAAAGGCTGGCTTCATTCCAGCGATTTCTCCGCGCGGCAATATAAGTTGTCCTCGACTGCTAACCCCTTCCTCCTTCACTCTTCTCTGCTTCTTCCTCTTGCTCATTCTGCTCCTCGTCTCTGCTCACGGCGTTCAGCTCTTCGGCGAATTTCGCGCCGATGTATCCACCGAGGACCGTTCAGAGGACACTCTCGTTGAGGACAACGCGCGACAGTCGGCGAGAAGTTTGCGGGATAGATTAAATCACGTGTAGGGGAGACCAGAGTTATATAGAGTATGTTGCTTATGTGCTTCTTTTTAGTATTTATTGTACCTTGAAAGTAACAGCAGATACAATTGCGAAATGGTCCTTTTAAAACATAAATATTTTTCCCTGAGTTTTATTAAAATCTGAATAATATTACAATTAAGAAATAGAAAAAACTGATTTGGTAGTAAGCAAATTTTCCAGCTTCTCGAAATTTTCTATTAATATTCTCCATTGTGCTTGAATAAAATTGAACGATATATTATTAACTAGAATCAAATTTCTTGCGAATGATATACTGTTTGATATTAAAAGCAATTTTCATTCATAAAATGATTGAAATAGAGCATATGGGCGGACAAGGTAATGTTGACTCATAATTAAGGGCCGGCAGGAGGACTGTGGAGATCTCTCGCGGAGATTCTGGAACTACTAATCAGAGTACACATTTTATACATGACTTTCTTTACTCTATACTATTGGACAACTGAAGCCATTACCAGGACAAGATGACTATGATGCTGCATGTTCGTGTTTTAGTTATTACAAAACAAAATATATACGATTAACAAGGTCGTGGAAGAGATTAATACGTAGAAGGGGATCGCCTCTATCATGTTTATACAGTTTATACAGTTGGCTACAACAATTAATTGCCTAAAAAATTGTAACTTCGAAATTCTACAATATAGAGCATCTAATCTCGGTTTCCCCTATCGCGTGCGACTCGTTTGCACTCGTGAAAATTAATTAACGTTTGATTTTAATTACACGCAAACTGTAAACGGACTCTCAGCCTTCGTGTTGCGCTCGTGAGTCACTGTGCGGCTGATTGAGTAAAATACAGCGAATTTGCAAACGCGACACCGTTTCCGAACGTAATTAAGGTCTACGTGATTTGCGTCATCGGAAAGAAATTGGTGCGACTTTGAGCGAAATACGAATTACAAGCTTTATAATTTCGCATGTCGAAAAGCTGGAGTGGAGGAAGGTTTGATATATTAAAAACGATTTGAAACGCTTAAAAAAAACCATAATTGATCTGTACGACGCTTTAGACGCTAGAGAACTTGACAACGTTTAATAAGGATCGTACCTAAAGTTTCCCCATTAGAAATAATCACGTCAAAAGGCACGAGAAGAAATTCATCGCCCAATTATCCGTATAGACAATTTTTTTAGATATAGTTGAGATCCAGCCCTATTCCCCAAAATAATTATGGATTAGAATTGTCATGCTTTAAACGTGCGACTCTCAGTGGAGACCCAAAGTTCTCCCAATAGTTTTCCTTCCTAGTCGTCATTTCACATTACACGAGAAAACGATTCTGTTAATGTAACTGACTTTTCCGTTGTATGGTAACAATAAAGACTAGATGGAAAACTTGATTGTAGGAACAGAAATATTCCTGTAGAAGGTTTCTACTCAGTTAGTTGTTTTCAGTTATTGCAACCAAGTTTTAATACAGCCGAATATTCGGGCAAATGTTTTCGATTGCGATAACATTTTACGTCGCCCAATTTTCGTCTGGTCTTTATTCAGTTGCGCGAACTGAAACTTCCGCGTAAAATTGAACATATATTAATTTTCTAAATAATTTAATTATTTAGTAAAATGTACATCTAAAGAATTCGAAAATATTTCTTTTTTTATTTTTTGTTTTGTTAGATATAACGGTTAGTATAAAAAATGTGGTTCTTCGTTTGATAAAAATATATCGACTGAAAAAAAGCGTCCATAATATTCCTGTTTCCAGACACAGAAGCTATTTTTGGACTAAAAAATAAGATTTCTAACTGGCATAACTATATGTAATTAGCATAGTAGGATAATTTTGGGACAAATTTGGATATTCTAAATTTCAATATTAACTATAATTAATAAGAGATAATGTTCAAAATCTATGCTGTATTTGGGAGAATCTTGGGAAAGTTCTATGCAATATTAATTATAATTAATAAGAGATAATGTTCGCAAAGAAAATTTCTTGACATCCAATTAAAATTTAGTCTAACCCCCATCTCTAAATAGTTATAGCTTCTGGTTAAAAGTGTAATGTTTCAACCATGCAACTCCGAGTGAGAAACCAAAGTTTGCGCAATATTCTTCCTAGTCTTCATTTTATATTAGAATTGAACACACTTTGACTTTGACCAGTAAGTTCGTTATTCAGTGAAATATCCGAAATGTTTTAAAAATATCTTTTTTACTCTATTGAATACAATAGTTGATATAGAAGTTGAATTTCCCGTTTGATACCATAAAAGAATATCAACGTTATTGACTGAGAAAAACGCGAGTTCCCATGATATTCTGTTCCGATTCTACACAAAGAGGTCATGTTTGTGACAAGAATGGGATTCCCAGTTGGTATTTTAACGGGATAACCACAATTCTAGGAGAAATTTCGACATTTTAAACGGAGTTCATGCTATATCCGGGAAAATCTTGCGAAATTTCTACATATACTCATGTGCATTTTCGTCTAAACGTATCTCGACTTTTCGCTGCTATTCCGGCAATTACACTTCGTTTTTCCCGAAAGCGTTCAAGAAATTATTCTCAAGCCCAAACTCTGTCGAGTCTTGATTTCCCTTCCCTTTTGTTGGTTACAGAGCGAAGAAATGGCTCGCCCTGCCGCAGCCCGAGCGAAAAGGCTCGCCGTCCTTACGCCCCCGCCCTGGAGAAGACGCGCTTGGGCGGGTCCGGGGGTAGCGTGGACTCTCGATCGGGCAGCGCCAGCCCGGATCGCGGATCGGCCAACAGGAGCGGCGGCTTCCTGCACCGCGGCGGCAGCGATCGTTCCAGCGTGGAGCGCCTTCGGATATCGACTAACCGGGATTCCCTTCGATCCAGCAAGGAGATGAACGACCACGAGAAGGACGCCGACAAGGACCTGGTGGACGGCGACGCCCGCGGCGATGAGGACAATGAGCCACCCGGACCGGCACCGGGCAGCAGACCGTCGTCCCCGGCTAATTCTCTCGGTGGGTAGACTGGCGTTTAATTACTCGCCCGCGCGCGGTTCGCCTTTCTTTTCCCTTCGTGCGCTCAGAACGAGTACACGCGAATTATCTCGATGACGTTCCACCGTCGCTGTTCTGCATTGTGCCATCCGCTAAGAGTATCGCGCTCCGAGAATCATGGAGTACTACCGTCATTCTGAGATATATTTTCCATTATGAATGGGAGATAGAGGAAGAAAAGGAAAGAGAGAGAGAGAGAGTGACTTCATAAGTTAACCGACGACGTTCTCGGGAAAATAATTCACGTCAGTTCAATAAAGTGGCGGCGCATGGAGTCGCTTTAATTGTCATATAATCGTGTTAATGAAACCCCTATTCTTTACCTTCATTAAGAATATAATCTCGCGATAAACATACAAAATATACGTGACACAGAAAATTAAGTAAATCTGAGATTTATATAAATCCCTCTCTTTCTATTCCTCTCTATTCATAGAATAAATTTAATTCCATGAAATGAATTAAATCAGAAACGAATAATTCGTAAAATTAAAAATGAGCCGTGATCTCATAATTACTTTTAGTTAAATTACCTAGAGTTAAATCTTTTTTCTGCGTAGAATTTTTTTTGTGCGTAGAATGACATATTATAATAACATATTATTCTCTCCACTATATAAAATAAAATTATCCTCTCCAACGTGTAAAATAAAATTATCCTGTCATGACTTTGTCCTTTTCTTCGATACAGAAAAGTGCATTCTTTGAAAATATCTTCTTTTTGATATGTAAATCTAAAATAAGATCACATAGTGTTACAAACAAAGATAAGTTCTTCTATCAATATATTTTATATAATTCGACGAAACTATATTCTTACTGTTCAAAAATAATTTTCACGAATGGAAATTACAAAATATCAAATTGAGAATATAACATTTTTTAAATGTCGGAAAGAGATATCATCATCATCATCAAAAGAATCAAATATTGTATTTTTTATAAGATTATTATAATATTCCAAGAAAATTACATTGTTGAAATTCATAGCTTTAAAATTCTTCTAACAAAATTATATATCGTTATATATGAGACAATGATTGTTAATTTGAGTATTTTACCTTCAAGTGGGTACTAATTTTTGTTTTGCGCATAGGAATCGGCGACCCGGTGGTGGCGTCCAGACTGTCCAACATCCACGGCGGCGGCAGTGGCGGCGGGCCGGTGGAGCTGGCCAGCGCCAGAAGGCTGCGACTGGAGAACGAGCGACTGGTGGCGGAGGTCGCGAGGCTGAGGAGGTTGTTGCTGAGCGGCGCGACACGTGGCGAGGTCGGCGCCGAGGACACCGCGATGGAGGAAGAGGCGCGCTTCGTCGCCTTGGAAATGGAGCTGCAGCACGCGAAGGAGGCACTGCAGGCGCTCAAGGCTGACCGGAAGCGGCTCAAAGCTGAGAAGTTCGACCTACTCAACCAGATGAAGGCCCTCTACGGCACCCTCGAAGACAAGGAGCGCGAACTTCGCGATTTTATACGGAATTACGAACAGGTGAGTGACGGCGCAGTCGTTCGCAATACCCTTCGCGTGGTGTGCTTCCGCAAGCTTCTCTCTTCCATTCTTTCTCGAGCAACGAAGCTACTAACGATCCGGGAAAGTGCATAAAGCGCGAGAGACGCACTGCGGGCAAGTGGTGTCTCCTCGGGCCGTGCAAAATGATCAAGCGGTCGTTTCGTCCGGCTAAACGATTTTAATGATACCAAGTGAAATTTCGACGAGATATCCCGATGACGGCGGAAATTCCCGCGGACGAAGGAACGTTTATTCTCGACGGGAGCATGAAAGTGTGTCCCTCCCTCCCTTATGTGGGACAGTTATTACTTTAGATTTATACGGAGAGCTTCCGGCGGGATTGTCGGAACCGAAGATATTGGATTGAGATTCCATAATTCTTTCAGACAAGAATGCCTTGGAAAGGGCCTTCTATCGTCGATAATAATCGACGGCATCTGCGAAAATAATATTTCCATAATTCATTGCGACGAGAAACCGGTTCAAAGATTCTGCCTCTTCCCGCCGCGCCCGCGAGAGCTTTCGTTCGCGTTCTCGCGAGACATATCCCGCATAGAAATTTCTTAGCATTTTCTCAATGCAGGTTAGATTCCAATCGGAATGCCCAATCGGAATAGACTTTGTCGCAAAATAGATTATCCTATTATGATACCAATTAGGAATCCCATTTTTGTTCCAAATATAGGTTCTCTATTTAGAAACTGGAACAGAAGTATTAAGGAAATTCAAGCTTCTTAAGCTTCCTTAAATGTTTCTGCATCAGTTTTATTAATGCAGTAAAGACAATACAAATGTTTTCTCTAGCTTGTTCCGTGTTAAAACGTAAAATAATATATTTTATATGTAATATAGAATACATTTGCATATCTGCGGATAATTCGATAATTTCATACATTTGTAAGTCGAAAGAATTTGTGTCGGATATATTGTTCTTACTTCGAACGCCTTCTATTATAATTTCTTCATAATGACTTTTTTCGTAAATACTTTAGGTATTTACTCTTTACAAGTATGTGTGTGTATGTATATACTTGTAACGAGTAAATGTTCAAAGTGTCTCATATATTTTGCTTCAATTTTAGTTGTAAATCAGAAAGGACTTTTTTGGGATAACCAAATGGGATCTGTCTAGGTTTCTCACTTAGATTCGCATATTTAAAGCATTACACCTCTAACCAAAACATGCATAGGTTTTCATGTAGAACCTATTATTACTGTGGGAAATCGTGCTGGATCCCAATTAAATCCTAAAATATTTTCTATGCAAAATCTTACATTATTCGTCCAGCAGAAGTTACGTACTCCGGAATTTTAATCTCCTGCTTCTCTCTTTCTCTCCCCCTTTCCTTCTCCCTCTCCTTCTCTCTCATTTTCTTTCTTACTCTCTCATCTTCTCATCCGCTCATCCTTTCATTCTCTCACTCTTTCATTCACTACCCCCTCCTCTTGCGGACGCAAACGGTAAACAGGCGGCGAGTAGTAACCCTGCTCTCGCGAATTTGCATGTCTCACATTGAGAAGAATCGATTTTCGATAAGAGGTCGCGGGCGCGATGAATTAAGGGAGGCGATGAGACCGGTGGCGAGAGAAGCGCGCTCGATATTTATGAAAGTCCAACTTTCCAAGTCGCCTCAGCGACGTTGCAGCAATTTCCTCCCCGAATCGCTCTTTTCGCTCCGACGGTTCGACGGCGTATAAAAATATCCACGGGAGAAAGGGATCATAGGTACATTCGTTAATTCACGGATCCATTATGAAACGGACAATTAAGTAACGCATGGCGAGAACGAAGGATTCGACGTTCAGTCGAATCGCTCTCCAGCGATTCGATTATTGGGATATCCACTTTGGAATGAACTATTTTCTCGTGGCTTTTACAATTCCCACGAAGACGCTTGAAATAGTGTCGGAGAAAGCGAATGGTATGTTTCTTTTCTTTCTTTTTCAGAGACGTATTAATGCCGTCAACATAAAGGGCTGACACAGCCCACGACGCGGTGTGTGTCGTTGGGATTTATAAATATCCATTTCTTTCGAAATCATTTTGTCCACGTTCTGTGGATCTCTTCGACTTATTCTTAGACGTGTGAAAGTGTCCACATTAGCGACCCACTGACGGCCCTTTCTAATTCCGGACTCTCACATCTCGACGACGCGCGCCTAGTGATGTATATAATAGACGTGTTTTTTAGTTGGCAGAAAAAATTCCATCGAGGAAGCGCGAAATTTCGGTTAATTGATTACGTCGTTGAGCGATTCGATTATTAAAAGGATGTCAAAGCAGATGACTCTTTTAAAAAGATGCTGCACGTGAAAACTTTACCATGAAAATATTGACTTTTTTCTGCAATGTTTACGTCATATTGATTGCGTAGGTGTAAAAATGAATTGGAACATCACTCAATATATGGCGAAAACGATACAAAATTTCAAAATTGATAGATCGAGCTGTCAATTGACTAATATAAAAATATTTGCCTGATAAAATGTTTGGACACGGAGAGATAATTTTATAGGAGAAATTAATGTAGAATTTTATATAGGAATTTATCGACACTCTGCAATAATTGATTATCCTTTTATTTCATATGTGCTAATTAGAATTTGTCATATTTCTAGTAAAATTTATTAGCAACGTAGTTAACAGTCTATTTTTTCCTACATTGTTAGAAACATAGCAAAATTGAAAAGAATTTATATGAAAAAAAATATTATGCATACATATATATCTATATATAACATACATATATACATATATATGTTTGCTTTGCTCAAGAAAATATCAAAGAACATTTCTGTATATTTACAAGTAAATTTGGCAGCTTAAAAATGTACGAATAGCTTGTAGAAAAGTTCCACCATATATTTAGTTATGCTTTCCGCTAAATACTGTAAAAATAAAGCAGCACACATTTATATAAGATCTATATGTATAAGAAATATGAGAATAGTATAAGAAATACGAGATAGTGTCAACCTGTAATTAACGAGTATTTCTACGTTATCAACATTTTCGTCATCCACTTTAGCATTCCTCTAAAGCGTATAACAAATTTCTCCCTTCGGTCGTTGTGGTGGCTCTGGCTAATGAAAGTCGAGAACAACGTCGAGAAACGAACGACTAACGAAAACCACCTCTGTGTGGCGGGTTTTAATTTCCCCTCTAATGCGCCTTTATGAAGCCACGTGGAAATATCGCGAGGAAAAAAAGTCCGTCAGATCTCCCCGCCGCAACGGCGATTCCCAGTGCGCGACCTATTGTGGGTCTGCAATTAAAAACTTTTAAATATGCAATCGGCACCGCGCTCACGACGATTAATCAGTAATCATCTTGTTCTTGAAATTTCGTTAATCCGTAAATATGGGTGCGGGTAACGTCACTCAGGAATGCATTATCAACTTTCGATTCTGTAATTCAATGACGACATATATTATAAATCAATGCTCTCAATGCCTGTAATTGATATTGACCAACTAATGGCAACAAAATGTAAAAAGCGAAATTTAAAGCGGAATTTTTCGCTAGGTAATTCCTTGTAAAAAGGTGGCAACAATACGAGCTCATATTCTTTAAATTTCTTGGAATAGATTCTCTGTCAAAACGAGTCAAAAATGGCAATATTTTTACTCGAAGTAATATATCTCCACTTGAAATTGCAAGATTAGATGTTTCATTCAAGCTTGGAGTGGATTCTATCTCTATATAAGTGAATATTTCGATTGTCTGAAGTGAATATGTTTCCGTGACGGTGGAATAATTTAAATTCACTCTTTAGTCTCAAAAGAAGATATTCACTCGACTATTCAGAGAAGAAATCATTCTATATGAGCAAAACATTATTCAATTCGGCGCTCACTCCATTTTTCGAGTGAAATTTTAATCCAGGAATTTTAAAAAAACACTAAATTTTTTCGAAGGGGATACAAAATTCAAAACGAATAAAAAATAACAGTATTTTTATTTAAAGCAATATTGAATGTACCCTAAAAGTATATGTTTTATTGAAACTTATGCTGCAATTCTAAAGAAATCGTAAAGTCGTAGCTTACGAAAAAAAAAATCGTAGATATTTACGAGTTATCGTATGAGATATGGTTCGTATAGAATTGCAGATTTATTCATAAGTTCTTACGAGTCTTACGAGAATAACTTACGAGTTTTATGATTTTGTCTAGAATTGCAGTATTAGAGTGGATTTTGGCTTCATATGAGCGAATGTTTCGACCGTTTAGTGTAAATATATTTCTGTAATGGTGGAATACACCGGATTCACTCTTCAATTTCAAATGAAGATATTCACTCAACGATTTAGAGCGAAGAAATCACTCTATATAAACGAAAAATCACTTGAATTCAAGCGACTCGACGCTCACTCCACTTTTCGAGACAAATTTCAGTTCAGATAATTTAAAAAGTACTCTCTAAATTTTTTCGAGAAGAGTCGCACTCGAAAGGAGTCAAAAGTGGCAGTATTTTAACTCAAAGCGATATTAAATATATCTCCATTTGAAATTACAAAAGTACATGTTTCATTGAAGCTTAGAGTGGATTCTGACTTCATATAAATGAATGTTTCGATCGTCTAAAGTGAATATGTTCTTGTGACAGTGGAATCGGGTTTAACTTTTCAGGTTCAACTAAAGATAAACGAACGACTGATAAGAAGATAATTCACTCTACGATTTAGTGAAGAAATAATTTTATATGAGCGAAAAATTACTCTATATGAGGGACATATCACTCGAATTCGAGCGACTCGGTGCTCACCCTACTTTTCGAGTGAAATTTCACTCTAGGAAACAGTGGCGTAGCCAGAAAAAAGTTTCGGGGGGAGGCTTTACTTTTTATTTTTGACGAACAAAAAAAAGGTCATTCGAAAAAATTGTTCTCACACTTAGCGTAATCCAGAAAATTAATTTCGGGGGGAGGTCGCAGCCCTCTCAGCCCTCCCCCTACGCCACTGCTAGGAGATTTAGAG